TCTGACAAAGTCAAATCAGTCCCTCGGTAGTATTCATAAGTTTCATAATTGCACCATTGCCCATATTTTATAATGTTTTTTTTTTTCGTTTCAATCCTTTTCCTAAATCAACAAAAAGTAAGCTATCTTTTTATTACCTTTTTTACCTTTTGCTCTTTACGAATGTTATGGTCGTTTAATTTAAATAAATTTTAGCTTTATGATCTGTAAAAGTATAACCTCATTTTGAGTTGTATCAAGTTGAAAATCCCGATATTTTATGTCAAAGTGTTTTCATAAGAGCATCTATAAACAATATTAATGTGTGTATTCATACTTATACTAATTTAAATCTTGTTCCTTATTTTTAGAAAACACAAAAAACAAAAGATTGAAAATTTCATCAATATAAAAAGTTAGGAACAAGTTTATGATTAATATAAGTGCGAGTATCTGTAGTTAAATTTATGTCATTTAGAATTTTTTTTAGTCAAAATGTCGTCTAGACTTTAAATAGCAGGAATATCAACCCAACAATACACTTAAACTTTTGTCATTATAGAGATCATAAGCTAAATTTTACTTTAATAGAGTTATGTATTATTAATAAAGACCAAAGAGGTAAAACTTTACTAAATAATCTTTTTTTTTGGTTGATTTAGGAAAAAGACAGATATTCTCAAATATAGACAATAGTGTAATTAATGAAAATATGTAATTTATATTGGATGACTGATTTGAAATTTTAAAGAAAGTTGAGAGATTAAATTTTGAACAAATTGAAAGTTTAGGGACTACATCGAACCTTTAGAAATAGTTTAAGAACCATATTGATTAAATTAAAAAGTTTAAGGATAACAGTATACATTAGGCCAAAATTTAAAAATCGTGTCAAGCTCCGTAAAATCTATGAAAATGTGTGCACAAGTCTAAGCTGAGCAATTTATCGCCCAATTATTATTAATTAATATATATACATATATATGTATGTATGTGTATATTCCTTTTGGCGATGCACATATTAGTATATGTGGGATGGCCATTGGGGAATTGCTTCGCGAATTGGGGTCTGACATTTCGTCTTAATCCACAATCCTTGAGTGAGTTATTTTGTCATTAAGGTATCGTCGCATTATGCTATTTTGTATGACTCGAAATTGCAATTTGCACACTGATGCGATTTTTTTTTCTAATATCTTATACAAATCAATCCATGGTAGTATCCAAAACTCATGGTCCATTTGTTTGAAGGAAAACTATTTCTGTAAAATTATTTTCCTATTTTCCGGTGTTTGGACACGAAAAACTAATCGATTTACCAGAAATGTTTTCAATGGACTGCGAACAAGTTTAGATTAGAGGAAAACGACTTCCTTTTTTGGTTAGAAGGAAATTACTTTTCTTAAGGGTGCGTTTGTTTCACGGAAAATGTACCATTTCTGGAAAACACTTTCCAAGAAGTCATTTTCGAGGAAAATGAGTTCGTTTTTCAATGTTTGGCTAAAACTTAAAAAAGACTAGAAAAATATTTTCAGTTGTTTGGTGAGGAAAATCTGATGGTAAAAATTATCACAATTTTTTATATTTTTTAAATTATTTTTATTTTGGAAAAAGAAAGGCCGTTGATCGGCGGAGGGAGGAAGAAGGGAAAAAGAAAAGAAAAAAAAAGAAAGAAGAGAAAAGAAAAATATTAACAAATGCAAGATGAACAATTCCGAAAAGTGTTTTTACCTTCTTAGATTAGGGAATTCATTTTCCTAATTTTATACATGAATGTTTTCCTTAATCGGAAAGTATTTTTAGTTGACTTATTATTTTCAGCGAACCAAACGAGTAAAAGTCCGGAAAATGAATTCTCGGAAAATACTTTCTCTCAAACAAACGCACCCTAAATAACTAAACAAATGAAAACTTCAACGAAAAATAGTTTTGTTTATTATGAAATTTTCAGTGAAACAAATGCATCCCCAATTAAAATTCACGACTACACATTACTAATCAATGTCACTGGGATTATTAGAGGGCTCCTGATCTTTTTGCACGTATTCATCCACTGTATCTTTGACGATAAATCTCAAAAAAAGTTTGGTCAAATGACAAAAGAATTGGGATCTCTTGTGCCTCAAAATGTATGGGGTCTCAAATTTTCATTCCCACTCTATTCAATCCCTTGAGATCAGATCACAAGATGATAATTCTGTCTGAATCTTTTGATTTTATTATGAATGGCTTTTTTTTACCGTTCTAAAATAGCAAACTTAATCTGATGTGTGGAAGTCATTTCACAATACCATATAACCATTGCACAGTGAAAAAATAAGAAAACCATGGAAAGAACATTGAAGAAGAAAACCATAGAAAGAACATTAAGGTATAAAATCTTGAATTACGAATATTTCTTTTGGGTTAATATCACAAAAAACTCTAAACTGGTATATTTATGAAAAATTTACCGCAAATTAATTTTTGACCATCAAAAGCCCAAACTGGCGCAGCTGTGAAAAATTTACCCTCCGTTAATTTTTGTTAAATTTTACTGTCAAATTGTTGAGTTGGAGGACATGTAACGGTTGACGGGTATACATGTTTGGGGTTTTACTCATCATATGTTTATCAATTTGTGATTTTTCGTAATATTAATCCAATTTAACGGAGGGTAAGTTTGTCACAAGTGTATCAGTTTGAGGTTTTTGGTGGTTAAAAAATTAGTTTGAGATAAATTTGTCATAAGTGTACCAATTTGAAGTTTTTTGTGATAAAAAAATTAGTTCTGGGTGAATTTGTCACGAGTGTACTGGTTTGAGGTATTTTTGTGCTATTAACCCTATTTCTTTATAGTTTAACATTATTAAAATATTTTCTTCATTATTTAATAAGTGCAAATGGTGTTTAATTATTTGACTTTCCTAGGGTTTCTTGGGAGTCACCTACCAATTCTGGTGCGATTTGATCGTGCAGAGTAGTTGTTGGGAGGGCCCCCAAAACAACTTCCCTACTTGACAGCTGACATACCAAAAGAAAAAAGAAAGCAGGAAATCATTATTTCATAATCTCATTTTCATGTTTACTTGAATTATTTGTCAGCGTTTCCTATTCTATTTTTCCCTGAAAACTTTCCATCAACAGCTTATTCTTTCTCATTTATGCGAAACAAAAGAACTTGAATATAGCAAATACAAAATGATTTTGCAGATAATAAAAAAAAAGGGCTAGCCAACTTAATTAATCACTTAAAAATGCAACATTATTTGATAAATCAATTTAGCAATAAATCAATTTAGCAGATGACTTGAAGATTCCTAGCATTGCTCATTATTTTATTTGTTTTTAGTTGGGTTATAATCATAAGTTTGAGGTAGGAAATAAGAATGAGAGGACTCCATTTTTTCTTTTTTTAAAGGAAAAAATGAAGTTATTTATTGAATTTCCTCCTAGCCACTCAGAAAATTATAAAAAAAAAATTGCGTATCATGTGTCGACATTTGTATATTTTGAAATATTACTGATATTCCGAGTACTTTTCTGGCATTTATTTCCTTTTGAAACTCTTGCTTTAAAAGATGCTTCAGAATTTCTACTACAAGTTCCCAAATCTTCTTTTCCGATACAAGAATTTTTTGCTTCTTCAATTTCAATTAAAGTTTGCATGACATGTCATGTGCAACTACAAAATGATAGCACAATCGAAAGGGCGCATGAGGGTCAATAAGATCCATTTTGATCGTACCAAGATGGATGGCACTGCGTTTAACCCATTGAATAGCAATTATCTCAAAAAGAAGATCGGTTACACCAAATCAATAATGAAATTTTACCAAGTTTAAGTGGTCTTGAAATCGTGTTGATACTGATTGGGCGCACGAGGGTCAACAAGATCAATTCGGGGAATGGTTCTAGATGAATCCTTTAAATGATACTTGGATGAATGGCGTAAATCTTTGAAAATTTGCGATTGATCAATGGCTAGTAACTTTTAATATGAAGAATATAATCAAATTTATAAGTTTAAGATCTTTTGGTTTAATAGTAACATTATATGTAATTTTGTGACTATCTTATAAACGGGAGTAACTTTCATCATTCTTAGTAACTTTTAACAAAAGAAAGTAGCAAATAAAATGGGGAAAATTACTCAATGGGTCATTTATCTATGGATCAGTCCAAAACCTTTTAATTTTGCCAATTTAACCCTAAAACTTAGCGCGAAATACCAATGTAGTAATTTTTGTCAATTTTAGCTGGAAATTGCTGACATGGTGGTTCAGTCATCGTTGGTCGTCCTATGTGGACACCACCCGGTTATCGATTTTCGGTAAAAATTGGCTGGAAGGACTACATTGAAATTTTGCATAAAGGCCTATGACTCAATTGGCAAAATTGAAAAGTTTATAGCTGAGTTGACATTCGTACAATAGGTTGAGGACCGATTGGACAATTTCCCCAATAAAATGCAGTTAGTGATTTTCATTTACTCGTGATATCCAAAGCGATTAGGACTCTTGACAATAAAACAACTTTTAAAATAGAAAAAATGACAAAATTTAATGATGTTAGATATGCCCTTTATTGAAAATTTTGTATTTTACTTTAGCTGACAACTAACTGTGGGAATGGTCCTAAGAAATATCTTAAACTGCTTCGTCCGATAATCTCGTCCGAATATCAGGATCCCCCGGATGTAAAGCAAGAAGAGGGTATTGCCTGAGGTTTGGCAAGAAAAAAGACAACCTTAACGGGAGGCGTAGGGACAGGCAGGTATCGGTATATTAAACTAAGTAACGCATTCTTGAAGCTTTAATCACATTAGATATACCTTAATTGAAAAGTTTGAATTTTATTATAGCTGTGACAACCAGCTGTGGGAGTGCTCAGCCTCTTTTCCCTTGGATCAGAGAAATATCACTCAATGCCTTGACTTCCCCATTCTTTTCTCTCTCTAGCCTAGGCAATTATTATATATTCCCCTTGCAAATTTGCACCACCATCATTGCTTCTGCTGATGATTTGATTATTGCTAAATTCCCAATTTTAAAATTAGTTCAAGCCCACAAAAACCCAACAAATCTGCAACCATAAAACGGGCCCCACCACAGGCTTCTGTCCCTCCTTTCCCATTGTTTCTATTCCCCCACTTCCCTCTCTGGAGCTTTCCCCGTGTTCAGCTTTTGCCCATAGAAAAGCATGGCCATTCGAGGGTTTGTACTGATTGTTGGAGGAGATCGATGTTGATTTAGCTGGATTCGAGCTTCGGACATCGAAAGTTGCTTCCTTTCGGCTCATCGAGATCTGGGTATGCTCTGGGCATCTCATGGACGCAGGTGGGTGTCTGTCCTCGGTTTCTTGTTTTGTTAAATGTAATGAAGGATGTTGTCATTTGGGTTTTCCAATCCTTGCTCAATCTTCCAATGGTGTAAGATTGAGTCACCTATGGAGTCAATTCGAGCTTTGAGTCTCGTCTTTGTAGTTGTTAGATGTGAATTGGTAATCTTCTTGCCTTCTTAGAAGAGCTTGGGGAATGTGCTTTTCGAAGTGTAGGGTAATTCTGGCCAAATAAATAGGGGGCAGTTTGATGGTCAACTTCAGTTTTTGCGCTCCATGTTCTTCCTTGTAAGTGTGCAGTCTCTTTTGGCTCGTGAGGAACTTGGGAAAGAGAAAGAAATTCTCTCGTACTGTTCGGATAAAAGCTAATGTGATATATGGTATCACAGTTTATACTTCAATTTTCCATGTCTTGTGATGGTTGAATTGCAGCTTCAGTGGTCTGGTTTCGGAAGAAGAGAAAGCAGAATTAAATGCCCTGTAGTTTTATAATGCCTGCATGTCCTGTGCCTGAACCTCAAATAGTATGTGCCGGAAGATTTTGGATAGATACTTTTGTCAATTTACTCTTTCCCATAAATCATCAACTGACTGTTCTATATGGTCATTTCTATGTGCTCGCCGAACCTCTGATTAAGTCATCATGTGGTGAATCACGGACAGATGCTAAGTTAGCAACAGATTGAATTGAAACTGCTTCTGCACGAGCTGTAGTAACGTCTCTTGGGTTCAGTTCCTGAAATTGGTCAGATGGTTCAATGGTGTGTTGACATCACAGTGATGTCCTTCATTCAAACTTCATATGGATATAAAAGAAATAAGACCATTTCTGTCTCATGGGTTATTCTAGCATATGTTCACTAATTGGCTGAGACATTGTGGTAGTATCTTGTGAATATTTTGAGAATAGCAAATAGAAAATGTAGAAAACAAGAACATATGGGGCGTGCAGACACCGTCCTCAAGGATAACTCGCTTCACAAAGTGCAGAAGGTGTGTTGTGGCTATCCTCCAGAATATAAACAGTGTGCGCTTCACTATTTAGGTAATGCAAGAACAACATAATTTTTTTGATACCACAAGTCTCACTCTCTAGACACTTGAGCTTAATTGTAAAATTTAATGTGCTAGTGCTATATCATTCAAAATTGACTTTAACTTAGACAAACCCACCCATATTAATAGGCGAGAGAACTGACTGCAACATGCATTTTATTGGATGGTTTTGTTGGATGCTCTACCGCTAATGATTTTGTTACATGGCCATATCATCTTGAAAGACTAGTCCAACTTTGCTTCCTCTTCTTGTAGCATGTAATCAAGACAACTAGCACCAGCCAATCCTTCATCAAATTTAGTTTGCTCACGTGTGAAATGTTGATCCACAGCCTCAACTTATGCTTCACAAAGAAGCCAAAAAAAAAAGAACAATTATTTTGGACTTCATGCAAGTTTCTTTTCAAAGAATATAAAAGCTTTTGAAATACCTATTTTATATGACATATCTTTCTAAAAGTCACATTGCTAAGCCTTGAGATCTTGTCAAAGATGTGTAGACAAATGCTTACAACACAGCTTCGGTACTTCTAAATTATGTCCATACGACAAAGGGTGACCATAGAAAAGTTGCTCTGGCTTAGTCTGGTATTGGAACCTTATGGCACAACGTGTTTTTGATATCTTGTGTTGTGACATTTGCACCTTCACCTTGATGAAGCAATTTACTTTTTGTATGTAATTGCCAAGTGTACTTTTCTGCTTCTATTTATCTTTAACTTGTCAATTCTTGAACTGGGTGCTTCTTGATGTCTTCAGATAACTACTGTCTTCTGGCGACTTATGACTTTGCAATTAAAACTTTAGATAGGTTAACTAGTATGTGTAGTTGGGTTGTTGAAGAAAGAACAGATGTGCTTGCCACTTACCTGAGGGTTTGCTAGGGATTTTCAACACCGATCAGCAACTTAGTGACCTGGAATAACAGAACATTCAATCGTTTTCTACCAAAATCTGGTGATTTTTATGTTAAATTAACAACAGAAAGTGCTATGATGATGGTTTACCTAAGGTTTTCCTACTTCAGATCTTTTAGATTTGCATAGCTTCTCTAGAACCTAGTTGGTAAATATGTTGGCAAGTATGTGCCTAAGGTTTGTTGGACCATTTTGCAGTAACTTTTGCTAGGATCATTCTGCCTTGTACATTTTCTCTGATTTTATTGTTAGTTCTCAGTATGTACAATTCTAGCAAGGTTAACTCCTCCTCAAGTGGTTTCCTCTCAAAAGCATTCGAGATTGTTAGGCAAAGATTATATGCAATACTAATCTCCATAAGAGTGCACCAAATCAATAGTATATGAAGTAATATATTATGATATTCTCTCTGTGTTTTGCTTTGACAGGGCAAATGGACACATCTGTAAGGTGTCTTATTAACAGCAATTCTCGGTTTAGTCATCTGGTTATGTGTCAGACAAGAAAGTCCCAGCATCTTCAGCAGATTTATGGAAAAACAATTGATGTATTAAAGTTACTAAAACCCCTGCTTGATGATGTGGTTGAATGCAAAACACCAGTCTTGGATGAAATCCTATACAAACAGTATGAAGAGCTGGACATGGCTGTTAATATGTCAAGGGAATTTTTGGAAAATTGGTCACCAAGGATGAGCAAGATTTGCAGTGTAAGTGATCTTTGTTTATATCTTTGGCAAATTTATACATAGATGGCATAGTTTTTTTCAGTTAATGTTCAGTTCAAACTATACAAAAGATAATACAATGTGGCCTACAATAGTTGATTTGATACCTTTTGCTATTGCATCCCCCTTCAGCTGCTTTGGAGGCCATTTTCACAGCAAAAAGTTCCATCACAAAGTTTCAAGTTACTTATTTTGGCCTTCTTGTATAACCATGATGTATAAATGAGTAAATGAATTAGTGTCATTCCTTAGAAATTCTGGAAAATCATGCTGACCACTGTTCTGGTTTTACCTACTTTGAGTTACTTATATTGTTGCATTGGGTTGACGCATTCTGGAATATCATGCTGACCACCATTCTGGTTTTTCCTTGTAATATGTTTGAATATTTCTCTTTTGACATTTGAAATTAAACGTAAGCATGCACCTTTTGAATTTCCCATATGTACCTCTTGACGCAATTGGGGAGTTTAATCCTGGACACCTTATGCTTAAACCGAATTGGTCTAGGTTGCACCAAAATAGAGGATTCGACTTTAGACACTTATTGATTGGTTGGATGGTTTCGTTTTCTCTTCTTGCTTATGCACAGCCAGTTGTTTTTTTAACAGAAAATTTGCATATGAATCTTGCGAGAGTAAATTCAGATTCCTTTTGGATTTATATGGACATGTTTTTACTACACAGCTATTCATGCTTTTGTTTTCTTGCAATGCCCTTGGGGCTCTGGTTTCTCCTTTTATTTGCTGCTTTTGTTTGTGCCTTGTGGCAATAGAGCACTGTATTTTTCTTCCGAATAGGGAATTGACTGGATTCACCCATGGGTATGAGGACTGCCAATCTATCTTCAGAAAAGTGATTGCTAGATGACATGTCAACGACAACATCCAGAAAATGCTGCTCCGGTTACAGAGATCAATCCATTTTTATTATCTTCAATAGTTTTTGGTAGTTGTCCCCTTCATTTAGAGAATGTTTTTTCTTTTGAGCTTTGTAGGGATAAGTAGGAGGATCAGTTTGAAGAGATTATTCGCATTGCGCCACAATCTGTTTGGCCTTCATATCTCTTTTAGCCACAAAACCTGCATAAAGTAGAATTCTCCCAACATGGATTGCCAAATCCCGTGACTCTCTGTCCGTGATCTGCTCATGCAACTCCTGTATCCTGTCGATGCTTTGAATAGCTACCTTTTTCGAGCTAAACATGCAAGTAAATGACGCTTCAAGCTTCCTTGCAAAGGACATGCTTGAAGGGATGTCTTCGTTGCCCAGATTGCTTTTATAGGATCCGTCTTAGCTCTGTTTTCTATCAATTATTCTCTTCAAGCTCATCATAATAGGACCTTTTCAGTTTAACTTCATAAAGCATATGGTAGAAGTTAGTGGAAATTGCCTATTCCAAATCTTGAGCATTTCCGAAAGAGTTAGATGTGCAATTTCAACTTTCTGTTAACCCAACTGAAAAGTATGGACATTTAGACCGCTGAATTTGCTATGTTCACTAATCGACTACTGAAAATCTTCAGGTTCTGCAGAGCAAATCATCGTTGACGAAAATTCAAATCTCTTCACTTGAGATATGCCAAATATTATGTAGATTATCACAATCAGACCCGGCTGCATCTAGCTTTGGTCGCATTCAGGTATAATCAGAGCTATGATCTATTAATACATGATTCTTGCAATTGCAAACTAGTCTCACAGAAATAGCTCCAGTACACTTTGCAGGAACTTCAACGACTGAAGCTGGAAGGAGTAGCAGATTACATAGAAGAGTTGCTTATGAATCAAAGAGATGGCATCCTTCCTTGTGCTGATACTGTTTCCAATATTATTGAGTTGCTTAATCTGAGATCAAAACAGGATTTGTTCAAAGAAAGTCTGGCAGTTGAAAAGGAGAGAATGAGGGCTGATGTCAATGAAGTGAGAGGAGAATTTGATGAAATTAACCAAGTTGTTCGACTTGTGTCATATATACGCGACTTTATGATCGAAACTGACTTCTTGGAAGCAGATGATGGCATGCCGATCCCACCTTATTTCCGTTGTCCTTTATCCTTAGAACTAATGATGGATCCTGTGATTGTGGCTTCTGGTCAAACTTATGAAAGGGCTTCCATACAGAAGTGGCTTGACTATGGCTTGACTGTTTGCCCAAAGACTCGTCAGCTGCTTACACATACTCACCTTATTCCTAATTACACTGTCAAAGCTATGGTTGAAGGTTGGTGCAAACATAATAACATCAGGCTGTTCAATAGCCTTGAGAGTCATGTTACTGTTCCAGTTCCCAACTTGTCTGACCATGGCTCCCCTCAAAATTTAGTCCGCACGGATAGTTTCAGTCGCTTTCTTCAGAGTAGCAGTTCCACTTCAAGGTCTTCTAGTGACATTGGTAACAGATTTGAGAAGCAGAGGAGTGAAATTTCTTGTAGATCAAGTGGTGAAGAATCTAATGGAGGGTTCTGCAGAGAGATTGAAAGGGTTGATATTCAATCTGCAGAACAATTACATACTCACAGTAGGAGTGAGTCGACTTCTAGTGCCATATCTAGTGTTGATTATGTTCCTCGAACTTCAATTGAAGTATCAACAAGATCGAAGTTTGAAAATTTGAGTCTGTCATCAGAGAAAATTTCCTCACGTCATGTTGGTGTAAATAAGGATTCAGTTTTGTCACTGCACGTTTTGAGAAACCAGTCATCTGGCTCCAATACAAGAATGGTGGTGGAAGGGAATGGTAACTGCAACCAAACTGGAACAGAGTCTCCTCAGTGTTCTGATTCTGCCTATGATAATTTAACTACATATTCTCATGTCAAGATATTGATAGATAATTTAAAGAACCAATCAAATGAGGTACACACTAAAGCTGCTGCAGAATTACGGTTTTTGGCAAGGCATAATATGGAAAATCGCATCATTATAGGACAGTCTGGAGCTATCACGCCATTACTTTCATTACTCTACTCACGAGTGAGATACACACAAGAACATGCTGTAACGGCAATTCTGAATCTCTCAATAAATGAGGAGAATAAGACCATGATTGCAGAAGCTGGAACAATTGAACCACTTATCCATGTTCTGAAATGTGGAAGTGAAGGAGCTCGAGAGAATGCTGCAGCGACACTGTTCAGTATCTCTCTTCTAGAAGAATACAAGGCCAAAATTGGTCGCTCTGGTGCAGTTAAGGCACTGGTGGATCTTCTCGGTTCAGGGACTCCCAGAGGGAAGAAAGATGCAGCCACTGCTCTTTTCAATTTGTCTATCTTTCACGAAAATAAGGCTCGAATAGTTCAAGCAGGTGCAGTGAAGTATCTCATTGAATTGATGGACCCAGATACTGGAATGGTGGACAAGGCTGTGGCTCTTCTTGCGAACCTGTCAACGACTGGAGAAGGGCGCTTGGCGATTGTGAGGGAAGGGGGTATTCCCTTGCTAGTTGAGGTCATCGAGTCTGGATCTCATAGGGGAAAGGAAAATGCAGCCTCAGTAGTGCTGCAACTATGCCTCAATAGTCCCAAGTTTTGCACCCTAGTTCTCCAAGAAGGAGCTGTACCCCCATTGGTTGCTTTGTCTCAATCTGGCACTCCAAGAGCAAAGGAAAAGGTATGCCGCTTAATTTTCTTATGAAATATATAATACTTTAGTTCCTAGTTGCAGCATGCCTGCTTATATCTACAAGTATCTTAGCAACTTGGGCATTCATAAGTCATTGATAAACTGCAAGAGAAACTACTTACCGGATGAGTCCTTATATAGTTGATAGCCTTTGAACCTGCAAATGACTAGGTTTATCCTTGATATGAAGTGACTAGTGCTGATATGTCTTTCCTTAGTCATATAGTTGATATTGCTCGACTTCTGTTTCCTAATCCGTTTATCTTTTTAGTTGTTTTTGGCACTCTCATATTTATCAATAAATGAGTATCGAGGCATTGTAGTTGATCATTCCCAAGCTAGATAGAGAAAATGATGCTCAGGAGCACAATGCATGTTCCCCGGAGTGAACCTGCATACTTGTTTGAGTACATGCATTGTGCATCTGGATTTGTGTGCCCATTTGCATGGGATGTATGTCCTAAGTGATGTATGTCCTACGAAATGGAAACATTGTGAAAAGAAATTGCACATAAACTGGCACTGCCAGAAGGGGGCAATGTAGTATGGGATGCTGCTCATGTTCTGTCAAGATAACTTTTCTGTCTCGGGTATACTGTTTGGAGTCTCAGCATGAGAAAGCTGGACTCTATGGCTTAATGGATCACATAAAGCAATTTTTAGTGAAAATGATGATGTTTCTAGCCCTCAGTCTGGGAATAATAAACTAAGATATTAGATCACCCAACAAATTCAGATACCTGTAACTTCACTAATTTTATATTCTGTGACAATGGCACAAGAATAATTGTTGTAATGATAATAAGAAAGAACAGCTAGACCAATTGTTGTTTAACTTTTTGCCACAGGCACAGCAGCTACTTGGTCACTTCCGAAACCAGCGAGAAGGGGCCATGGTCAAGGGGAAGTCTTGAAATGAGGAAATGTTTGGCTTTTGATATTATTTCCATGTTGATTGCGCTCTTTCAAGAAATTCATTCAGGAGGTTTGGGTATTTGTTTTCTGCCAATATGTATATAAATTAATGTGCTTGTAGATCTTTTCAATCGGGGGGCACACAATTTGCTTTTGAAGCGACTCTTGGGTTGCTGTCCGTAGCATGCTTGATGTTGCACTGTGAAACATGGGTTGGGGTTTAAAGTTTGAGATCGAGTCGTTGTCTTTCCCTTTACAGGCAATAGTTTGGCCAACAGTCTTGTATATTCTTTTTGTACATATGTACAAAGCGCACATTGTTTTTCTATGAGATTGAGAACATTATTTTCAATTCCAGTCCATGCGGGAGCCATAACATTACTGCTATCGTTACGTTTTTCAGTAGATTATGGTGACGGACGCCAATGCTTTTAGTTCCGCGACCATGGTACAGCTTGGAGACAGATCTTGCTCCTTGTAAAATTGTCTGCTTTCTATCTTTTCTTCACTTGCCAGATTCCGCAGGGACAATATGCTACAGATTTTTGTTTGGTACTTGAGTGTTGCTGAGTTGAATACAATACCAATCTCAAAAGTTTATCACATCATTTGGTATATCAATTTTGTAGATCGACTTACCGCGTTTCGATGAAAATTAAGCCTTTGTATAGTTGGTAGTAGGAAAGACAAGAAGAAACCAAATCAATTTATGATCATTTTCTTGGAGATTCAATACGATGAAACTAGCCTGCAGCAAGACAAAGCGAATATCTGCCCTGAATGGATAGACATGTGAGGAGAGTATGCGAAGCTGTTGACAATGTGGATTCTATCCTCCTACGGGCGATCATGTCAACTTAGAAACAGATCAACTTTCTATCTTTTTTTCGAATAGAAAACTTACACCAACCATATGCAAAGAATTCATAAGACCAACGTTTATTTAAGAAACCTCTCTGGAAGGAAGCTAACACGAGACGAGACTATAGGAAAGAAGATGATCTCTTCCAAGAGCATTGCGTTCATCTTGCTCGGGCTACTCTATATGTGCGCTGATGTCCGTGGTGAAGGAAATCTTAAATTGGTGTATGGACTCTGCAATGACGCATCGTTCGCCGACCAAGGCTACGAGACCACCGTGGAAGAAGTCTTTCAGGACGTGAAGGTTAATACGCCGAGTTCGGGTTACAGTTACTATGACCATATCCCAGTAGACAACCAGAACACCGATTTCTTCTACGGGCATGGGGCATGCAACGGAGTGATTACAAAGTCCGAGTGCGTCAATTGTTTGATTGCCGTGATTAACTGGGTGAGGAAAGAGTGCCCGTGGAGATACAGGGCTCAGTACCAGCTTGCGGACTATAGACTTAGGTACGAGTTTTACCCATTTTAGGACAATTGATTTTGTAAGGACAGTCAAATAAGCATTTCTCATTTTGTAACGCGTGAGTCGATTTATTTTTGCGAGTCAGTGGTTCGACAAGGTGAGTTGATTGCTCTCTCAAATTGTGGATGGCTATACTCAGACCAAAGTGCTTGTTTGACATCTTCACAAAGAGAAATAAGAACACATATATGTCAAGATTTATCGGTGTGAAGCTGAGAACTCTGATTTAGAATGAATTAGTAGTTACAAATTGGATCGTCTTGCATGAGATTTCATTTCTTTGTAATATAATGGAGTCTTCAGAATTCAAATTCAACGTAATGGCTCGATTAGGTGGACATGAAGGGAAACATCCATTTTTCAAGATCTTTCTGCGTTAGGCAACACTTTGCCAAAGCCCTTTGGGGCCTTGAAGGCATTTGGGCAAATGTAATTAGCGTTTTGTAAATTTTTTGGAAAGCGTTGGAGAGATGCAATTGCATCTTCAAAGGCCTTTAACCCGAGGGGTGTTTTGAGGTTTGAGCATTTTTGGAATGCAAATACATTTTTTTCTTCTAACTTTTCCCTCACTAAAGTTTCATAATTCTAGAAATATCCCTACCTCATGCGACGTTATCGGCAAAGATTTAGGTCATCGGCTAGCCTCCGGCGAGGCCAAATGTGGCTATCGGCGAGCCAGATTTAGCGCTAGCAACCTCGCCTGGGTTACGCAAACACAAGCCATAGGCGATTGGGTTGTACAAACCTAGGCAGCCGTCGCCGTGCAACCCAAGCGAGACTGCTGGCACCAGATCTTGCTTGTCGGTAGATAGATTTGGCCTTGCCACTATTGAGTTCTTAGCTAGTTTTGAGGTTTTTTTTTAAGCAAAAGTACTATATAAAGTGTAATTTTGGCAAATACCATTAAGTCAAAGTTTTTTTTTAATGCGCTTTTAAATTTAAATTTACCAAACACTATTTACATTTTCCAAAATCTCTTTAATCTACAGGCCTTTGTATTTAGGCCCAATTCCAAAAAAAACCCTCAACTTTACACTTTGTCCCAAATATACCCTCAACTTTTTTTTGTCTCAAGAAAAACCACAAACTTTTATCTAAGTCCCAAATCTGCCCTCCCGTTAAAAATCCGTCCAATTGACGTCGAAAAAAAAAAAAAAAAACAGAGAACCGGCAGCTGCGGCGGTGGCCAAGCCTTCGCCGGTGGCCGCCGCCACAGCCGTCGGGAAGGAGCGGCGGCCCACGCCTGGGCCTTCTCGACGGCCGGCGACCCTCGCCGCGCAGCCCCCGATCTGGGGCGAGGGTCGCGCCCTCCCCGTGATTGGGGGCTGCGCGCGCCGCGGCGGGCGGCTCGCCCGGGCCGGCGAGGGTTGCCGGCTTCGAGAAGGCCCAGGAGAGGGCCGGCTCGCCACTGCCTGGGCGAGCCGCCGGCGAGGGTCGCCGGCCTTCGAGAAGGCCCAGGCGAGGGCCGGCGGCCGATCGCCCTAGGCGAGCCGCCGAGCGAGCGCGCGCCCCCGATCTGGGAGGGCGCGACCCTCGCCCCAGATCGGGGGCTGCGCGCCCTCGCCGGCAGCTCGCCCGGGGCCGGCGAGGGTCGCCGGCCTTCAGGAAGGCCCAGGCGTGGGCCGCCGCTCCTTCCCGACGGTTGTTGCGGCGGCCACCGGCGAAGGCTTGGCCACTGCCGTAGCTGCCGGTTCTCTGTTTTTTTTTTTTTCGACGTCAAGTGGACGGATGTTTAACGGGAGGGCAGATTTGGGACTTAAATAAAAGTTTGTGGTTTTTCTTGAGACAAAAAAAAGTTGAGGGTATATTTGGGACAAAGTGTAAAGTTGAGGGTTTTTTTTGGAATTGGGCCTTGTATTTATCCACAAACTTTCCCTAAATATCGAACCAAACACACATTGCTCAATGGATTTGCATCCCGCAGTGCCCTCACGATATTGTATTTATTCTGCAGCACAATGGATTTGCATCCCCACGATGCCCTCTCGATACCAAAACTTTTTAATTGAGCCCGAATTTGCACATAATGTGTATTTTCCTTGAAAGAGTTTGAAAATCAAATTTTGACCGGTACACAGTCAGGTAAAAAGATTGCATTATCTTACTTGTTGGGTGACCACTTTGTGTGCAAATGTGTATTTGAAATATTTTATGCATGGTGTGCAACATTGAATGAGATATTGAATGTGACATGATTGAATGATTTTTAGAAGTCAAGGTCAAATGTGCAACGATTACATATGACATCAAAGTCGCAATCGAATATTAAGAAATCAAAATAGGATTGACATAGAAGTCCAAACCAAATGACTTAGATGTCGGGTGCAGTGTGAATGGTACGTAATTGAATATAGCATGAGTGAATAACACGCGTAATGACGTGGTAATAAGATACGGCATGGGCGAATGACATGCATAATGACATGGCAATCGAATATAGCATGAGCCAATGACACGCAAATTGACCGAGCAATCGAATACTGTACAAGTGAATGTGCGCAAGTAGCAAATGAATACAGCATGAGCGGATGGCATGCTAAATGATGCGACAATCCAATATGACGTGCGATGACATGTATGATGACGTGGCAACCGAATGTGGCATGTGCGAATGACATGTGAATGACATGGCAATCAAATGCGATGTGTACATATCGTACGCGAATGACGTGTCGATTGAATACGACATGGATGTGTGGTTTCGGATTAGACCCTCGTGTCTTTTCACCATGGATAAGTTCCTACCATTTTGCATATGCGCTTCACAATCAGCTAGAATGGGAGATCAATCACCGGAAGACGTACCATAATGGACATTGGTTTGGCCCTTTTTAGTTGGATCTGACTATCTTACCACCGCCGCCTCCATCACCACCTCATCCCCATCCTCTCGGTTTTCCCCCGGGCCACCGCATAGCCGGAGTCGGATCCAATTCTACTTGTAGACGAAGCTGGTTCATAGACTTGTGATCTTATGCTTTATGTTGTCTTTTGATGTACGTGGCTTTAGGTTTTCTTTAGTGAAACCCCCTAAGGATTGAGCTTTTCCATGATGCTGTTATGTAAGTCTGAACTTCCTACTTTGAACGAATACGATAGTAATTTTCCTTTTTCATGCTTGTCCTATGGGTTGTCTTAAAATAAACTTTGACTTAGCACAGTTCGATCTATGGACCGATCGTTAACCTAAGTTTACTAATGTTTATGGAACTTAAATTCAAGATTTCTTCCCAAAGAAGGATTATATGGTTTCCATTTTAAAGATGGTTTTCTTTTTCTGATGCGTCGCCCTCTTGGAACCATCATGTAACACCGAGTTCGAGACCTTGTTTCCTGGACCAAAGCTTCGCTGCTTCTTGATCAATGTGAGCTTCACCTCGGGATCTTGGCACGCCACAGTTAAGTTGAAGATCAAGCTCGATCGCATGAAGAAGAAACAATACCGCAAGTAGAGATAGGGGATATCTAGATGAGGCCTGATTTAGGCATTGTAATGGAAAGCTGAAGTTTCTTTTCTTGTTTTCGCAAAAAAATGATGTCTGAAAATGAATTGGACCAGGACCTTTTGGAAATTCTTGGGCTCCGTCTTGCTGCTTATTCTTGTTTTCGCATTGTAAAGATAATATGCGCACAGGAATGAACTCAAACAGCGAATCGTGTTACTTGGGCAAACGGTATCTCCCCTAAAATCTGGCTTTCTGGAACGGTCTTGGAAGACCTTAGACAAATGAACGAAGTCACAAAAATGCAGTCACTCAGATTAAAGGAATGGTGGATGAACTGACTCTGCATGTGACGACGGCAGAAGAGAGACCTGTTGGAAACATAGACAAGGATACGCCTAACAACGAACCAGAGATAGAAGTAGGGAGGAAGTCGAAGACGAGAAAGATGAGGAAATAATCATATGAGAGAAAATCATATTAATCTATGAGGAAAGCGAAAGGGTTAGAGAGGAGGTGGAAAGGCTAGAACCAGAAAGGGTCCAAGAGGCCAACCCTAGAGTGGTATAAGCATGAAAATTGCAAGGACAGCTCTTGGGAAGGTATGAAAATCCACATTCAGTCTAGGATTCACTAAGCAAGCCAAGGAAATCTTCTCCCATAGCAGATTTGAATATATCTCCTCAGCACATAAATGAACCGCAAGACCAACTTCAAGAAGTGGATGATGAAGGCCGCACAGCAAAAGTAAATTTCCATTAGAAGAGGATGGGCAGTTGGTTACATTCTTGTATATAGCTCCTCGTTGCTTTCGTGACAGACTGCTCACGGGTCTCTTCCCAAGCTTTGAAGTGGCAAAACCACAACAGACCTAGATATGGATTGCAACTTTTGCTATAATTATGGAGCAACCAGCGAGGATATGGACGTCGAGGATCACTTGAATGTTGCGGACTATCTTGATGATTAGATGTTAGTGACTGAAATACAACGTCATGTAATATGTAAATATGATCTTTTTCAATGAAACGAAAGTTATCTAAAGGCGCTCTCAATACATGGGATATTCTAGTTTGCTCATGGCTACAGTATGGCATGACATTCGTTTAGGCTAAGACTAATACGAAGCATGTCTGTCTCACAGGAAATAAAAGAAAAAATCAATATAATAAAATGGAGTATTCATTTCCTTCAAGTGATTAACTTAACCTTAGATACGGAACCATCCTAATTCTTACTTACCATTTGTCAGGGGTGAACAGCGAATCGGCGCAGTTTGGCAAAGCAACAGAGACATATTGACTATTGGTTGCTTGATCTCGAACCACGAAAAGATCAGCTGAGGCATGAATGTGTAACCACAGGAACGATCACGGGGGGCACCATCGTGAAAAGGGAGTATTCCGTTCACCAAGTTTTGGCAAAGATTTCCTTTCGATTTCACTTTCAATAATGCTGTCGCTCTTTGCAGGAAATCCAGAATTACTCACAGGGTTTAGAGACATAAATGAAAACTGTTAGTATCTTCTGATCATGCCTGGTGCTAACCGCATGGTTCGAGAT